TTCCCATAGAGACTTGGATACTTGGGCTCTCCTCCAGTCTGTCCCCAGAGGCTGGCTACCCTGTGGACCCCACTGTGACCTAGGAACTGGGCTTCATGGTGGGAGTAGGTTTCTGATGGTTCTTCCTGCTGTCCCCGAAGTCCTTCCGTTGCCCTGCTCCCAAGCAGCCCAGCCCTGCTGTCCACTCTTCCCTCCTAGTTCCCATCCTGGAACAGCGCACTGCCTAGACCTGGATCCTAGAATCTGCTTCCTTTGCCTCTATGCCAGTTCCTCACTGAACTCCAGCTACTCTATTGCCCCATGGAGGCCTTGACCCCTGTCTGGCCTCTGGAGGTCTGTATTCCTGCCCTGAAGATGGATTCCCTGCCTCTTTCTATGCTGTTCCTGCAGAGACTTGTGGCCCCTCTTCTTCTGCCTCCACTCCATCCTCTCCCCACATGCCTCTTTGGAGACGCCGTGCCGAGAAGTGGACATGGGAATTGCACTTCCCCATTGCGCTAGCCCCTTCTGAAATTGTGAGCCGCAAGTGGAAACAAACGCTGAAACCAAAGCACAATGGTTTTCTTGGGTTTGGGGCTTACAAGTGTTTAGATCAAGAACCAATACCAGGGCTGGGGAGGTGACTCAGTTGATGATAAGCGTGCTCCCATGAAGATGAGTTCCAATCCCAGTATCTGAAAAAAGTAGCTGGGTGTGGTTGTGTGTCTGTGGGAAATGACATCAGGAAGATGGCTGGGACTTGCAGCCTTGCTTTAGAAACCCTGAGTCAAAGGAATGAGGTGGACCAATAGAAAGGACAGTCAGCCTCCTCCTCGGGTCTCTGTGTGCAAACTGGTACATGTACCTGTACACACAATAGTGCATACACCACATACTCAAACCGAGCTCTCTCTCTCTCTCTCTCTCTCTCTCTCTCTCTCTCTCTCTCTCTCTCTCTCTCTCTCTCTCTCTCTCTCTCTCACACACACACACACAGAGGCACACATATACACACACACGAGGGGGGCACCTTGGCTCAGACTCTTTGGAAATTCAAAACATGGCAAATAGTAAGAAGGCTACAAAGAAAAGCCGTGTTCCCCTCTGTTTCTACTGAAGTCTGAAAACTGAACAGGGAGGTATCACTCAGTTATGAAACTTTTCTGGCCCCTGACTATGGCAGGATTCCACAGAGGACTCCATTAGTGGGAAGTAAGGGCATACCAGATAATGCCTAGCTTTAGGAAATAGCTTCTCAAGAAAATCTGAAGTAGGTCGTGGCCTTGGCTGCTGTATTCCACAGCCACAGTGAATTTGTTCAATGTGTGGCAACTTGTATTTTGAAAACTCACAATGCAAAAGTTCACATGAATATTTTAGTACCATTCTTAGCCGCAGCATTCCAGGCTAAGCCTCTTAATTAACCTCATATCTGCAAGGTGTTTGAAAAGTTTGGTCAGGAATGTATTAGTGACCCAGCAGGAGCTCACTCCCACTGCACACACACACACACACACACACACACACACACACACACACACACACACGTACCCTTAATATTCTTCACAAAGGCCAGCCACACCCACCTGAAACACGGGACAGAAGACAATCCAGCTAGGAGCGTCCCTTCCCTGCTGCCTGGGAACTTGATCTACAGGGCCACAAGGCGTGGGCTATCTGGGCACAGTGTTCTTGGATATGTGCTGTGACCTTTTTCATATGAGAAATTCATACTGCTTTTAGCTTTACAGTACAAATAGTGACAACTTATTGTTGAAACAGTAAAATTATGAATAAGTCAGAATCTGGGAAATTGTAGTGCTACAAAGGCAAAGGTAGACAGATTTTTGTGAGTTCAAGGCCAACCTGGTCTACAAAGCAAGTTCCAGGCCAGCTAGACCTACAGAATGAGAGCCTATCTTGGTGGGGGCATGAGGCAGACAGACGAAACACACAGAGAGACAGAGAGACACGCACACAGAGAACGAGTTGATGAATTATGGGAAAACAAGTCCATAGCTGCCCAACCCCTCTGTTATGACGTTTCCTCCATTTACACACTCGGCCACATCCACCCCACACGCTACTCCCAGGTGTTACAGCTGAGAAACAGATTGCTCTGGAACTGAATGACACAATAAACAACCACTTATTAACCTGGGTCAGGAGAAGAATTGGGCACAAGGTGGGTTACTTATCTCTGTCCCAGTCTGGAACAGCAAGATCTCAAATCACGGAAGGCTGTTCTCTCCCGTCTCCAGCAGTCTGGTGGTCCTTGGTTGGTGTCAGGTTTCTTCACGCCCTTGTGGCTTCCTTACAACATGGAAGCTGGCTTCCGAGAGCTGTCTCAAGATAGAAGCAGCCTGATCTAAAGGGCTCTTCCAACTAGCTGCAGAAATCCTAGGCATCACTCCCACCATCTCCAGTAAGTGCAGTGGTCCTCAACCTTCCTAATGCGGCCACCTTTTAATACAGTCCCTCATGCTGTGGTGATCCCCAACCATAAACTGTTTTCATTGCTGCTTCATAACTGTAATTTTCAGCTGTTATGAATCATAATGTAAATATCTGTGTTTTCGGATGGTGACCCCTGAGGAAAGGTTGTTTCAACCCCCAAAGGGGTCGCAACCCGCAAGCTGAGAACCATTGTATAAGTGTAAGTGGAACAACGTTACCGTCTGCCAAGTTCGAGGAGAGGGAAGCGAGTTTTCACCTCCAGACAGAAAGCAGCGAGGTTCTAGAAGAGACTTTGGGATGAGAAACATTCTGGGCCATCTCAGAAAAGTTTAATATGCTGTGTTAAACATTTTAAAAAGCTTTATCCTTGCATGTATGTGTGCATGCACGTGTATGTGTGCATGCCTGTTTGTGTGTGTGGTGTGAATGTATACCACATGTATGCTGACACTCAGAGGTTAGGAGAGGGTGTGGGGTCTTGGGTCCTCTGTAAGAGCAAGAGGTGCTCTTGACCACCAAGACATCCCCCGAGCCTGAGCACCAACTGCTGTGTTACATTTCAGTGTTACTGTCATACCACCCAATCACATTTTAAAGAATTCATTTTCTTTGGTAATTTAATACATAAATACAATGCTTTTAAATCAGACCCATCCCTTGCTCCCCCACATCTAGTTCCTCCTGGTCACCCCCTCTCATTTCCCTCTCAACTTCATGTTTTCAGGGTGATGGCCTCTTTGCCTTCTTTTCCCCCACCATATAACCCGCAGAATCCAGTTAGTGCTGCCTGTGTACGCATGAGTGAGGGGTACCATCCCCTTTTACCAATGGCTGACAGTCTCCCAGTGTGACATCTTCACCTCATGTACATAGTTCAAAGATGTGAGACATGGTACATACAGACTCCTGTTTGCTGTCTCCCTACCAACAGAGCCAGCAGCTGGAGGATTTCCTGTACCTCCCTATCCAGCAGCCCCACACTCTCAGAGGTATCCTATCTCCTACCCCCATCGCCAGAGATGAGCTTTCAGCTGACGCTTTTCCAGGATGAGTTATTGATGGTTTCCCATGTCAGTCTTTGCCTGGATGCCTGTGAGGTTCCCACATTTATGGGCATGCTATGGTTTATTTAACCAATAACCTGTGGCTCCAAAGTTGGTGTTTTTTACAGCTTCCATTAAGGAGGGTTCTGGGTAGACGCCTGACCAAGCATGCACACTGGTTAGGAAGGAATCCTAAGCTGCATAGATTGACCACCCAAAACTGGCCTGGGTGGCTTGGAAAAGAGAGACCATTTCTGCCAGCATTTTGGAGGAGGTATTGGGATTTGAACCCAGGGCCCCATGCATGCTAGGCAGCTGTCTACCCCTGCGTAACATCTAGAACCCTCTTTTGATTTTTGAATTTTCAGCCGCCTAGGCTGGCCCTGAACTTGCGATTCCCTGCCTCAGCTTCCAAGTAGCTAGGATGACAGGTACCCTAGTTTTCTATTGCTGTGATGAAACCTAGTAACCAAGAGCAACTTAGGTGGGGAACCTGTTTTTTGGCTTTCACTTCTGGGTCATGGTGCATCATCGATGGAAGTCAGGGCAGGAATTCAAATCAGGAAGCTGGAGATAGGAACGAATCAGAGACCATAGAGAAACACTACTTACTGGCTTGCTCCCAACAGTTTGCTCAGCCTGTTTTGTTATACAATCCAGGACCACCTGTGCAAAGGAGACAACGGCCTTAGTGGGCTTGGCCCTTCCACACCAAGAATATGCCCCCACAGACTTGCCTACAGGCTAATCTGCTGGAGGCAACGCTTACGTGAGAGTCCCTCTCTCCGGATGACTGTAGTTTGTGTCAGGTGACGAGAATTAACCAGCACTACACACCTGAACCACCAGGTCCAGCTTTCATTGTCTTGTGTCTAAGTATGCCCCCACCCCACGCTGAGCATGGGCAGTGACTCTGCGGTCTGCTTTACTGTTCTTCACACCTTTCACCTCAGGTTTCTCAGAGTGGGCGAGGTCCGGCACCTTCCAGGCCCCCTCCACACATAACGCTTACACCGAAACTGACCTTGCGTCTGAGCGGCCCAGTCTCGCTTTATAGACTCTCTTTGTCTCGTAGGGCTAAGTATTTCCTATAAGGTGTGGCCCTATTTGCCCACAATTATGCAAGATGAAAGGGAGGGAAGAGGAGAGTAAGGAGAGGGAGAAAGAAGGGGAGGCAGTCAGGAGGAAGAGAGGCGCCATTGTTCTAATTTTGCCAGGAGGGAAGTGAGGGTTTGTGGAGTCATATATCACTACTTGGTTTACAAATAAAGACACAAGAGGCCACTGGTGTTCAAACACAGGATGCAGACGTCCTGTCTGCAAGTCTTTTTTTTCCCTAAGGAAAATTAAATTCCAAAAATATTTGTACTGACTTAAAAAATGTTTCTCCTTGAGTCTCCCATTTTAGCTGCATTCCTCATCTGTGTGTTGAATCCTCTCTCTCTCTCTCTCTCTCTCTCTCTCTCTCTCTCTCTCTCTCTCTCTCTCTCTCTCTCTCTCTCTCTCTCTTAAAAAGGAATGGAAGTTATCCACTAAAGCCAGAGCCAAGATTAGCAAGAAGGTCCCGTAAATGGAAAGAACACACTGGGTGGAGAGTGAAGGGAAGTCGAGAGAAAGCCTTCATGGGACGACACAGGAAGCCCCTGCATGGTGGCGAGAATAAAGGGAACACGGGCAGGAGCACGGGAGGTGAGTCCTGGTGATGGGTGACGTGAGCATGTGCTATTCTGAGGTTCTGGGATGCAACAGGCCGGTGAGAATGCAGTCTACAGATGCCAGTCTTTGTCCCGGCAGGTTTACAAGAGGGACTTTGGTGATGCAGAGCCTGGAGCAGCCAGGTGGGAAGGCAGGCCTGGGTGCCACTTGGTAGAGACGGCATCCTTCGTGGTGCTCCAGATGTTACGCGGTGCCGCAGCGCCACTACCACAGGACCCACCACCAATTCTATTATTGTCAGTTTTGGGGAGTCATTGTGACCTTGTCCCCTCAGAGGGCACGGGGCAGATTCACTGTGAACCCCGTACTAGCTACTTTCCTTGTTGTAACAAAATAGCCGACAACTTTAAGAAAGGAAGGTGTATTTTGGTCCGCAGTTTGAGGGGACAGTCCATCACAGGGGGGACACAGGGTGGTAGGAGTGTGAGGACGCTGAGGGGGGCAATGGCTACATTGCACCCATGGTCAGGAAGCAAAGAGACAGGAATGCAGCTTGGCTGCTCTCTCCTCTGTGTTCAATCCAGGCACCTAGTATACGGAATGGCACTGCTCACATTTAGGGTGTGTTTTTGTACCTTATGCAGAGGAACTCCCTCACAGACATTTCCAGGGCATGGTCACCTAGGTGACTATAGATCCTGTCCATCTGACAACCAATATTTACCCTCACAAGTCAGGCTGACACCACGCTTGAGCCGCCATCTTCCTCTGCTGGCCCCTGCAGGTTCCTAGCCGTCTGTTAATGCAGAATGCACATGGTCTAACCTCAAGTCTTGTGACTTTTGTCCCTGTAGTCTGTAACAGTTCCAACTGTTTAAAAGTCCAAAGTCTAATCCTCTCTGGGACTTGAGGCAATCTCTTAAGTGAGAGCTCCTATAAAATAAAAACTACAAAAGCACATATGCAACTCCAATGGACAATATCACAGAATAAACGTTCCTGTTCTATCAGGGAGAATGGAAGCTCAGCGAGGATCGATTGGGCCAATGCAACACTGAAGCTGTGTTGCAAACACTGACTCTGGAGTGTGTGACGCAATCCCCAGGGCCCACATCTCCAGCTCCGCTGCCTACGATACACATGCCCTCTCTGTTAGTCCAGCTTTCCCTGGTGGACATCCCTCAGTCCTGGCATTCCCAGCACGCTGGGGACCCCACTACAACAAAGGCTTTCCCTTCTCATCCTCACACAGTAGGGACTGCCTGAAGGGACTCTGACCCCGTCACACATGGATGTTACTCCACAATTCTGTTACAAATGTGCTTTTCATGCCAGTAAAACCGTTAGCTGTGGCAGGGATAGAGTTCCAAGTTGTCACCACAGCAGCCTGGAAAGTTCCCTTAATCTTTTAGGCATCTCAACTCAAGGATCAGATAAATCTAGATCCCTGGCTCTGATGCAGATGAGATTTTCAAAACAAGCCAGCACAAAGCAGAGTTGGGGATTATTAAAAGGGTGTCTTGCTGGGTGGTGGTGGTGCACTCCTTTAATTCCAGCACTGGGGAGGCAGAGGCAGGTGGATCTCTGTGAGTTCTGAGATCAGCCTGGTCTATAAGAGCTAGTTCCAGGACAGCCTCCAAAGCCACAAAGAAACCTTGTCTTGAAAATCCAAACATAGATAAAGAAATAGATAGATAGATAGATAGATAGATAGATAGATAGATAGATAGACAGACAGACAGATGAAAGACAGTCTTATGGACCAGGGCAATGGCTCAGTGGATAAAGTACTTTGATCTCAAGGACCTGAGTTTGTATCACCAGTGTCCACAAAGCACACGGGTGTGGAAATGTGTGCTTATAACTAGGAAATTAGACAGGTGGATCCCAGGAGGTTGCCTGGCAGCTAGTTTAGGCCGAAGAGTGAGCTCCAAGTTCAGAAAGAGACAGGCACACTCAATATAAGACGAGGGGCTGAAATTCTGGTTGCTGCTCTTCCAGAGAACCTGGGTTCAGTTCCCAGTATCCACACTGGGTGATTCACAAATCTCTGTAATCCAAGTCCCAGGTGACCCAAGGCCCTCTTCTGGTCTTTTCAGACACTGCATGAACACACACTTGGGCACCCGTACACACACATAAAATAAATAAATACTTAAAAAGAAATGTTTATCTTTTTATCATTTTTTTCAAGTCATGGTTTCACTGTGTAGCCCTGGCTGTCCTGGAACTCACTCTATAGACCAGGCTGGCTTAGAACTCAGAGATCTGCCTGCCATAGGCTCCTATATTTGAATGCTTGGTCCCTAGTTACTGACACTATTTGAGAGGGATTAGGAGGTGTGTCCTTAGTGGAGGACGTGTCACAATGAGGTGGGCTTTGAGGTTTCAAAAGACCGTATCTTTCCAGTTAGCCCTCTGCCTTGTGCTTATTGATCAGGATATAAGTTCTCAGCTGCTGCTCCAGTGCTATGCCTGCCTGCCTGCCTGTTTCCATGCTTCCTGCCGTGATGGTCATGGACTCTAATCCCCTCAAACCACGTTCTTTTTTAAGTTGCCTTGGTCATGGTTTGATGGTTTGAATAAGAATGGTCCCACAGGCTTATAAGGTCAAATGTTTGGTGCCAAGTTAGTGAAACTGTTTGGGAAGAATTAGAAGGTGTAGCCTTGTTGGACTGGGTGTGTCCTTGGAGGAGGTGTGCCGCTGGGAGTGAGCTTTGAATTTTCGAAAGCCCACACCATTTGCCTGCTGCCTGTGGATCAGGATGTAAAACTCTCAGCTACGGCTCCAGCACCAGGCCTGTCTGATTTCTGCCATGACCATCATGGACTAACCCTCTGAAACTGTAAGCAAGCCCCAATTAAATGCTTTCTTTTATAAAATTTGCCTTGCTCGCCGGGCGGTGGTGGCTCACACCTTTAATCCCAGCACTCAGGAGGCAGAGGCAGGCGGATCTCTGTGAGTTCGAGGCCAGGCTGGACCGACAGCCTCCAAAACAATACAGAGAAACCTTGTCTGGTAAAAAAAAAAAGTTGCCTTGCTCGGGGGTGTCTCTCACAGCAATAGAACAGTGACTAAGATGTGTGGTGTCTTATCACAGCAAAGGTGTCTAAGACAAACACTACATTTCAATATCTTTGCAATAGCCACACACAACGTGGTGAGTTTTGAACCTGTTATGTCGAAAGAATTACTTAAAATGCGCTTGACAGGATTACAATTGGTGATGTAAAACTCTAGATTGCAGGGCTGCTAGAAGTCAGGATATCTTCAGTGTGGAGAGAAAGGGGGGAGGCCTGCCGGTAGTGCAGCCTCAATGCTGTTCTTCCATGAAATGCCCTGTACACAAAAGGAGTATTTCTTCTGTGACAGCAAACTTCACAGCAAATGTCAGCTGTACTAGAATTTGTGTCTACCAACTGGTGAGAGGTTACAACCAGACTAGTGTGAGGGGCTCCCTTTCTTCCCCACATCCCTATTGTTCCCCCTTGCCTTCCCGACTTGTCAAAACCAGGACCACACAAATGATGCCTCTGAGGTCTGCTGGCTGCTGAGGATACAAGCCTTCCCCTTTAGATCAGCCTCGTGGCCTCTGTGTGCTGACCTTGGGGAAACTCTTATTGTAGCTGTGACATTCTCAGTTTGGGCTCTCTCTCTCTCTCTCTCTCTCTCTCTCTCTCTCTCTCTCTCTCTCTCTCTCTCTCTCCCTCCCTCCCTCTCTCTCTCTCCCTCTCTTTCTCTCTCTGGTTTTTCGAGACAGGGTTTCTCTGTGGCTTTGGAGGCTGTCCTGGAACTAGCTCTTGTAGACCAGGCTGGTCTGGAACTCACAGAGGTTCACCTGCCTCTGCCTCCTGAGTGCTGGGATTAAAGGCGTGCGCCACTACTGAGTTTGAAAAGATAGCTGGGGTCTTGACCTCTGAATGCAGTTGTTATTGCCCCGACTTCTCTTTAATGGTGCACCTCTCTTTACCAAACATGGCCCTTTCTCTGCAGCCCCCTAGTCACAGCTTTGGAGCTGCTCACACCCCTTGAATGCCAAGCCTTATGCACTTTATAGCTTTCTGTTCTCTCTTCAGATCTGAATTTAAGCATCAAGCCGTAACCACGCTACAGCCTGAGAGCTATGCCATCTTGAAACTTCCTCCACCAAACAAAGTAGTCCGCCACTTTTGATTCAGTTTTCAGAACACAGGCAGATGGCAGCCAGATTCTTTGCCAGAATATTTCTTAAAATAGTCTTTGTTCTCTGGAATCCCGTGGCCTGGGCCTTCATTTTCCACATTTCTCTTGGAATTCTGGTCTTGCAAATTCCTATCTGAAGCATCCTCTGATCTACTTTCTAGGCTCCTCTAGCCCACAGCTGCAAACTGTACCACATTCCTTGGTCAAGCAGTTCAAAGGGCCTACGAATCACATTGTTAGATTCACCATAGCAACACCCAATTCCTAGTACTGACTGTCTGTAGTGGTTATTTTTCTCATTGCTGCAACAAACTACTAAGAAGTGCACCATAAAGTTGGTAAGATTCGCTTTGTCTGGCAGGTTGAGGATACATTCAGAATGTCAATGGAAGTCTTGGTGGCGGGAGTGTGAGACAGCTGGTCTCATTGCACTTGGCCATGAAGCAGTCTGAATTCTGGTGCTCAACTCACCTTCTTCCTTTTATCCAGTTGCAGAACCCCAGTGCATGGACTGGTACTACCCACATTTAGAATGGATTGCTCTACCTCAGTTAACAAAATCTAGAAACTACTGTACAGACATGGACAAAGGTTTGTCTCCTACGTAATTCTGGGTCCTGTCAAGATGACAATCAGTATTAACTCTGATAGTCCAAAGGCTCTGTGGCCCATTTGTAGGATTGTTCTAGGAAGATTCTATGTTAGTCAGACAATATGTGGGAGGAGTCAGAGCTGAATGAGAATTGAGAGCCCTCACTGGGTATTGGTGGTGCACAACTTTCATCCCAGCACTCGGGAGGCAGAGACAGGTGGATTTCTGTGAGTTCGAGACCAGCCTGGTCTACAGAGTGAGTTCCAGGACAGCCTCCAAAGCAATACAGAGAAACCCTGTCTCCAAAAAAACCAAAGAGAGAGGGAGAAGGAGAGAGAGAAGAAGAGAGAGAGGGAGGGAGAGAGAGAGAGAGAGAGAGAGAGAGAGAGAGAGAGAGAGAGAGAGAGAGAGAGAGAGAGAGAGAGAGAGAGAGCACGCCCTGGTTTTAGGTACTTTTTTTATAAGTCTTCACAAGCCAAAGAGTCTGTTCTTGTTTGTTTGCTCGTTGTTTTGTTTTGTTTTCCCACTTGACACAAGCTAGAGTTCTCTGGGATGAGGAATCTCAGTTAGAAAATGCTTATATCACATGGCCTGGAGGAAAGTGTATAGGGCATTTTCTCGATCATCGGTTTGTGTTTCTAGTCCCTGGATTGTTTCTAGTCCTAGGTTGTATAAGAAAGCAGGCTGAGTGAGGCCATGAGGAGCAAGGCAGTGAGCAGTGCTCCTCGATGGCTTCTGCTTGAGCTCCTGTCTCCAGGTTCCTGCTTTGAGATCCTGCTCTGACTGACTTCCTCCATGATGGACTGTGATGTGATGAACCCTTTCCTCCCCCGGTTGCTTTTGGTAGTGATGTTTTATTGCAGCAACAGAAACCCTAAGGCAGAGAGTTGGAGAGCTCAGTACCATCCAAAGCATGAACATTTAGAGAGTCCTTAACATTTAGAAGTCCTTAACACGGCCTCACAAGAAAAGCACTGACAAGGATCCAGATTGGGGTGGGGGGCTCTCAATCATTAGCCAACGTCCTAGAGCCAGAGAATGCTCATCTAGAGCCCTATCTAATGAAGGCCAATTTTCCCACCTTCCTTCTTCTCCAATTCTGTTCCAGTCGTTCTCATGGGTCTATTGCCGTGTCCAGACGAGATGGATGCTGCCAGGGGAGGCTGTGGGCCTGGTGACTTCTGTCCACCATGCCTTTCATGATGTCCACCATGTCCACTCAGGACACTATCTCTTGGAAAAAGAATTTGGTGGTCACACCAACTGGGTGTTCTGCATGAGGTTTGAGCCAGATTTTGTCTTCCCAGAGGTTCATGTATTAGAATCTTGGTACTCAGTGTGGCAATGTGAGAGGCAATAGAACTTTTTAACACACAGGGCTCAGTGAAAGGTACTTAGGTCATTGGGTGCACCACCCATGGGAAGGGAAAAACTAGCTCTCAGTGGATTCCAGTTATTTCCAACCAGAGTTAAAAGGAGAGAGATTGGCTCTACTGTCTGGTTTCCTGTCTTGTCATGTGCTATCTCCCTTTTGTACGCACTTCTGCCATTTTGCTATCACGTGACAGACTCCTGGAATATAGAGGACCACCTGGTCTTGAAGTTTCAGGTTACAAAACTATAGGCCAAGTAACCCCTTTTCTTTGTGAGATATCCAGCCTCGGTCTCCCACCTGAGATGCTGACAACATGGTTGTTGCTTGGTCCTTGAGGCCGGTGTCACGGCACTCAGGGTGGTCTCACAGTGAATGTCTCATGCTGGAAGGCAGACAACCTGGTAGCTGCTCAGCCTACAAGGCTGGACGCTTCACCAGTCCCAATCTGGCAGCAAAACTCTAGCGGGGTCCTGGAGAGCCACTGTCCTGGGGAGGTCCTGCGTCAACAGTGGAGGCCTGGGAGTGTCGGTTCAGACACCAGTGTGGAAGTGAGCAGCAGAAGCAGCAACAGCATAAATCAGCAGCAAGAGGGAAGGCCAAGGGCATGCAGGGCAAGTGAGCTCCCTTCTGCCACGGTCTTTTTCATGGGGTTGCTACCTGGACATTTGACACTCACATTTGGGATTTGGATTCCCATATCAGCTAAGGGACTCAGGACAATTCCTCGGGGGAGGCTCCCTACTCAGGTGATTCTAATTTGTGGGTGTTGACATTAAAATCAACCGTTGTAGGGATTTTGTTAGAGCAACACAAAAAGGACTGCTGTAAGGTATGTCCCCCACTCTCTGCTGGTGAACGTTTTCCTCATTTTCCCAAAGCAGAAGTCATGAGAAGAGAGGCCTATAGCTGTCACCATGCGCCTCAGAGCACAGAGGCTCTGCCTGTCCTCCCACCCACTCTCCCTGGTGTCTCTTTCCTCCTGGCTCTGGCTCTCAGTTGCTCCTCTGTTGCCTCCCTCCAAGGGTTCCTCCAGCCCCAGAAACGTCTGACTCCTTGGATCACAGGCTTGAGTCATAAATGCATGGTGGTTTTGTTTCTTTAGTGTCTTGAAAAATGATGCTTAATAAAAATCTTTTGAGTCACAGCTCCCACAATTATTATCTTTGCTTTCTCTTTTCCTTTTCAGAAAATTCCTTGATGAGTTGCCCATTTCCACTACCCCCAGTGTCCCCGTTTCCACTACCCCCAGCTGTCCACCATGTCCCTCCAGACAGCATCTAAAAAGGTCATCACTGATCCCCCTTTCTGCCAAACCTAGCAGCTAGCTGATGCCCACCATCTCCATAGACTGTGTGCTACTGGTCTAACTAAGTGGTTCTCAACCTGTGGGCCACGACCCCTTTGGCAATTGCATATCAGATATCTTAGATATCAGATGTTTACATTATGATTCATAACAATAGCAAAATTACAGTTATGAAGTAGCAATTTTATGGTTGGGGGTCACCACAACACGAGGAACCCTATTAAAGGGTCGCAGCATTAGGAGGGTTGGGAACCGCTGCTCTAGCTGCCTGTGCCTTCCTCTCTCCAGGTTCAGCTGGATCTACTTCCTCCGATGAGTCCAGAGAATCTCTTGTCTCAAATATCATTGTGCCTAACGACTTCGCCAGTCCATCTGTCTGTTCTGGGCTATGCGTATCTTCAGGCAGGTATGAAAGCCACACTGGCCAGTCTGAGTGACCTTCCCCAGATGTGTCACTCCTCAGTCTCCTCATTCGATAGCAGGACAGTGACCATCCCTTGGACCACATGTGATTCATCTCAGTTCGCCGTCTGTTTCCTGTGGACTCTCCCGTTTTCTCTTATAATGAGAGACTGGGGCCTGCGGACTTAAGCAAGAGAAGAGGTTTATTTAGCCCCTGTTTCTGGGGGCATAAGGGCATGGACCTGGCTTCTGCTCAGCCTGTGGCTGATGACATACTGTGGAAGAGATCACACTGTCAGACCAGAAACCAGAGCAAGAGGGGCCAGTCTTGCCCTTCTAAAACTACCATCTCTGGAGGACTAACTCGGGCTCCCACAATAACTTTGTCAATCCCTCCCGAGGACAACATCCCCAGTGACCTAGCCAACTCTGCCCGCTTTGGGGTCCACAGCCTCTCAACCTCATGACACCGGGGACCAAGCCACTGATCCGTGAACCCTTGAGGCACAAAGCACATAGAAACTGTGGAACCCTGTTGCTCTTTTGCAATACTGCCCTCCCTGTGAGCACCACCACCCCAGTCCATCATCACCGCTTCCTGCCTGGATCATTGCAAACAGCCTCCCCTCACTTACCACAGCCCCATCTGTGTTGCCTCACCGCATGGAAAGTGTGACCTGTTCATGCAGAGGTCAGAATGGCACGCTTCCTTCAGATGTCTCCATAGCTGCCTGTCTGCACAGGGCAACGCTCCTACGCTGGCCGCTGGGCTGGCCCCGAGGCTCCAGCGACACCAGCGGGGCCTCCAGCGACACCGGCGTCCAATGCTATGCACCCCACACTTTTTGTGTTCTCCTCCCAGCTCCCTCACCTCAGAGCTTCACAGTTCCCCTCCCTGGGATCCTCGCTCCGTCGTGGAGAGCCCTTCCCAGCTCTGGTTGAAGTCATGCATGTTCCTATCCTTCCCCCTGCTCACTCCCATCGCTCTGTGTGAATTTTATTTATTGGCCTGCCAGTTTTACTTCTCAGTCAGATTGTGAGGAGATGGTGACCTCACAGGAGAGTGTGCCTGTCTGGTCCACCACTGCGTCTCTGGGGCCTCGAACACAGCCTGCTCTGGACTCTCATGGTTCTCATAGGCCAGTGTCACATCCACTGTGTTTTTGGACAAAGACCAGATCCTACACAGAAGTTGCATTTAGGGCGAGTCGTCCTATTCCATTTAAACTAATCAAGACAGTCCCTCATAGGCATGCCTACAGGCCAGCTTGGTATAGACAGTTCCTGACAGACTCTTCCCAGGGGTTTCTGACTGTGTCAAGTCGACAACAAAAGCTAAGGGGCTGGATTCACCATACAAAGCATAAACAAGAGAAGCAGGTGGGAATGGGGAGGGTGTGGAAGGTGTGAGCGGGAACACGGGGACAAGAGAGGACAGACGGGGCCTGCACTAATGTCATCAACAGGCGTGTTGAGGCGGGAGGAGCAGCCTGAGGCCTGGTGTGCAGGGGAACAGGCCCAGGTGAGAGGCCACACAAGGGAAGGGACAGCGAGAGCAAGCTCCAGGGAGGTGAAGATGCCGAAGAAAGCTGACATGAACTAATACGTTAGTTTAAAACACAGAAGTGCTGAGTGTCAGTGCACGGATGGCTAGGAAAACGTGGCCCATGAGAACGGACTGCTCAGTTGTGAGATGGGAAATTGGGCCCAACGCTATGATACGGATTAACCTTGAGAACACTGAGTCAAGTAAGCCAGGCTCAGACAGTTGGTGTGGCATGGTTCCATGAGTGCGGCAGAGACAGGAAGTAAGGTGCAGGCAGAGACAGGAAGTAAGGTGGTGATTGCTGGGGACCGGGGAGAAGGGTCTGGAGAATTGCAGCTCAGGAAAATGAGGGAGCTCTAGAAACAGGCGGCAATGGCTGCACTAAGTGGCCGTGTGCTCAGGGCCACTCATCCTGTGCCATTATCAATGAGTGGCTCAGGGCCACTCATCCTGTGCAATTATCAACATGTTTTATCACAGTATAAAAATAAGAATTTAAATCCAATAGATATCATTACAAATAAGAAAATGGACTGTGTTCTTTATGAACACACACACACACACACACACTTTATACATGCTAGCCTGTTAGGCAGGGTGGACATAACAAGGCTACAAACAGACAAATGATCCAAGGCAGATAGCAAGCCTCTGCCTGAATCTGGAGAATGACACTCAAGGACAGCATAGTTAGTGAGCTGGGTGAAAGAGCCCTCTCTCCAGGACCTTCAGGGGTCATTATCCCACATCCTCCCTAGAGAGAGGAGTGGGCTCCCTGCACCCTAGAACACCCCCAAGCCCTTCAAACTTCAGTTCCTACTATGGTACTTCTGGCTGCCTGACTCTCTCCTTTACTGCTAATCAGGAAGACTGGAAGTGCCAGCTGCCTCCCAAATCTTGTCCCAGCCTGGCCAACCACCTGGCCCAGACTCATGGCCAGCCCATGGCTAGCACACTCAACAAAGCTTATACATACAGTAGGTGCTCAGACTGAAGAGAGAATGGAGGGGGAGGCTTCTCATGACCTGGAATGTGAGCCCATGTTCACTGACACCCCTGCCCTCTGTAGACGATCTTCCTTCACCTAATTCAACAGACCTCTAAAACCCTGGAGCATAAGAATGGCCTCTTGCTCATTTTTGAATGACTGAGGGTTAATGCAGATTGCCAGCTTGACAGAATTTAGAGTCACTTAGGAGGCTTCTGGGTGTGCCTGTAAAGGATTATCTTGATTGGGTTAACTGTAAATGGAGTTCTTAATTGGTCTAGATAATAAAAAGCCTGAGTCAGACGTAGAGGGAAATGCTGAGAGATCAGAGAGAAGGAGCAAGCCACGGCACACCTCACCTCCCTAGCATCTCAGCAGACAAGAGAGCCATTTTCTGTTCCTCCCTGCTTATATCCTGTTTCTGCCCAGCTACCTCCAGACCTCTATGATCAGCTAGTGGCAAGCTCCATTCTCTGACCCTCAGACAGGCTTTAATTGTACAAGCAAGACATCGCCACAGTTAACTGAAGTAGGGAAGCCAGGCTATCTTAACTGTGGGCAGCACCATTTTATCCAGTACAGCTGGAGCCCTGTACTGGATAAAAAGGGGAAAGCTAGCTGAGCCCTAGGGTCATGACGTTCCACATCCTGCCCCAGGTGCATGCAACGAGCCACCTCATGGTCCTACTGCCTGGACTTCTCTGCCATGCTGGACTACACCCTTGAACTCAGAGCGAAATAAACTCCTTTTCCCTTAAGCTCCTTTTCTCGGGTATTTTATCACAGTGTCAGGGGAAGACAGCCACACAATAGCCAGGCCTGGTTGTTATTTGAAATGCTGATTCTACTTGATAATGGGGAACTCATGTCAGCTGGCACTCAGTCGAGTCCTTTCTTACAATCAGTTCCGCAAGGCAAGGCACGGCTGGACACAAAGGTCCTGTGAGTGCAGCATGAGGACCACTGCTTCAGGAAGATGAGTGGCCACAAAGTCACTTGAGGATAGGTAGAAGGGTCATTTGCATTTTGTGCCTGAAACTCAGAGCATGACAAACTCCTTCCGCACTTGAGGTCCCAACACTTGAACACACCATGCTGCCCACCTGAGTGTGCTGCTGAGGTTTGATTGAAGTGGGCAGTTCTCAGGACAACTGAGTCCATCCGGGTCTGAGGGAAGAGCAGGAGGAACGTCAGGGTAGGTTGTGCACTATATGAGCAAGGCATGACAAGCCAGGCACTGCGCCAAGGGAATCCTGGTAGTTTTGAATGAGCCTTCAGCCAGGGAAGGAGATGACCCTCAAACAGCAATGGAGGGCCACCTCTGGCTGTGCCCACTGGGGCTTCTACCTGCAAAGGAGTCTGGTTATCATAGGGGAAGGAACATAATAAGAGAATTTGAATTGATCTATAGGTAACTGGTGACAGAATGGCTTTGAGAAAATGATCCAGAATCCAGACCTGCTGGGTGACTTTGGCCACAACCCCAGGACATGTGTAGGATGTTACCCATGCTGAACATGCTGAACATGGCACTATGACCTGTGCCTCGGACACTGGCCAGTTGCTTCAGCCAAGTGGTGTCTCCAAGCTTGCTGGCAGTATAGGACTGGTGGGACCAATTTTAGTCCTCTCAAGAAGGCAAGGAGAGAATAGCTCTGCTCTCGCAGGAAAGCAAAGTCTTGCTCCCTACCAGGGAAAGAGACTCCCCAAATGTTAGAGCACCATTTGGAAGCTAGCTACATTTATTGGTCCGTTTCCTATTGGTAAAAGACAACACCCTGTCTGGCTAAGTTCTGAAGAAAAGAGGTTTCCTTCAGGTCACTGTTGCAAAGATCCAGGGTTGAGAGGCCACGTCTGGCGATGGCTTTCTGCTGCCAGAATGCCAGGCAGCAAGGGTTCTTACCCAGAAAAGCAAGGGAGCATGCATGTGTTCTGGCTCCTCTCTCTTTCTATAAAGCCACAGAATTCAATGGTGAGGGCCTCACTCTGATAGCCAGATTGTTTCTGCCCTCTAACATGTCACAATGGGATCTAAAGTGGGGGAAGAGTATTGAAACTATAGCAACAATCAAAATATAAATTTTTCAGATCAGGAAGTGGCAATTCAATGGCCATGATGTCTCTAGACTGCATGGGCCAGCATTCAACTGAACTAGAACCCTTCCTGATTGTTTCATATTGTTTAATGTTAACTCTTCAAACATTCCTTCAGATTTCTAGTATCCAGGGCTATTCGGCAAACACAAAAAGATTAATGACTACAATTTTAATACTCTGGACAGTCTATATCAGTCGTTCTGGAAATGAGTGTGTGTGTGAGAGAGAGAGGGGGGGGAGAGGGAGAGGGAGAGGGAGAGGGAGGGAGGGAGGAAGGAAGGGAGAGAAGAGAGTTCTCTGAAATCCTGCGCTAAATATGTACCCAAACTTTAGCTCTGACCAACTAGAATTTATTTTAACAAATACTGTTGTGCAGGCCCCTGTCCTTCCGTGGGTTTTTCAGAGCTCACTCCTCTGTTCTGTCTTTCTTCTCTTTTGGCCAGGTGTGCAAACAACTGGAAGGTTGTCAATAGGTCAAGGCCATCCGTGGTTTTTACCGGTTGGCAGCAACATGCCAGGAGGAGGCAGGGCTGTGGGTGTAGGGTTGGGCAACTTTGTAATAAACACATTAGATGATGCAACAGGGTGCAGGCTTATTAGACATGCACGTGGTCTCAACTGTGCCAGCTTGGAAATAGCTTACGAACTCAAGGTGACAGTTTTCCTTGGTCTTGACCAGGGCCTTCTTGTAGAGGGCCTAGGGGTGAGTTCTGCACAGTGGCCGGGGCCTGTGTGGGAATTTGATTGACACCTGCAGGTAAGTTGGGAAATGGTTATCACAGGAGTAGAATAGAGGTGAGGCTTGAGGGAGCTGGCATAGGTAAAAGCCAGGCTCGTGGAAATGGAAGCTTAGAAACAAAGCTCGTATCTGTCAATCCTGTAAACAGCCTTACTTGTTAACATAGACATTCCAGTCGGGTATCCCAGAAGGCCCCAGTGTGAGGCGGGGTACGTGCATGCCGGTTTGTGACTCTGTGCCTCTGCGTGTAAGCACCTGGCTTCATGTGTGGTGTCCGCCTAGGACACTGCATGGGGCCAGGACAGCCTGGCCAGGGCCTGCAGGAGAGAGGGCAGATGACCTAGCCAGCAGCCACCTCCCAGGCCCAGCTGCTGGGCTGGGCTTCCTGAAAACCGGAAGTCTGGAGCAAGACAGATGACCTCTGGCTGTGTGTTTACAGATTTCACCATGCTCTGGATACAGCTGTGGCCTCCCCACCCCTGTGGCCTCATGATTGGTGATGTGGGCCCCTACTGGAGCAGCCAGGATTTAGGAATACCAGCGCCGCAGTCTCCCCATGGCTTTCAGCAAATAGGGACTGTTTGTCCATATCTCCTGTAAACAGTTGTTTTCTCAGTGATCACCCAGCTCGTGTTAAATACTAACAGAGAACTGCTCCACAGCCTCTCTTGGGTTGTCTGTTTTAAATATTTAAGTAATTGCTCTTCCTTGTCGCTGAGTGACATTTTGGCTCAAATTTTCAAATTTGCTGTAACTGCTGTTGCTTCTCTGGTTATTAAATTGCGTGAAATGTCCATCTCTCTCTCTCTCTCTCTCTCTCTCTCTCCCCCTCCTCTCTCCCCCCCTCTCTCTGTAAACAACTGCCTCATTCACCTTTGGTCACAGCACCATTGGACGCACTGGGTTCCAGACTGTCCTGCAAGGATCATGACCTCCTGGAAGCAGGTGACTGGTGAGCTTGGTGGTCCTTCCCAAGGGTCAGACAGAGTGGTTCTCCCTGGAGCGCCAGGAATACCAGCTGTGATGAACTGTGCTGTGCGGGGTCTATCTCCATTTGGCATTTGCTGGGACCATGGGCTTCGGAACATTCTGCTTCTACCTGGACTCAGTTGTGGTAACTTCCTCCGGCCTCAGATATGCATACAGGCGAGTTTGTCTCTCCTTGGGCTGGAAGGACCACTGAAGCCTTTTCTAAGGAAGCAGGCTATCTCTCCCTGCTTCCTTCCCACCTCCCGGCATGAGTAGGAGGCCGAGTGTGGGATTTCCCCTTGGTTGGGCCAGAGAAGTCTAGCCCCAAGTTGTGAGTCTCCAAGATAACCCTGCATCTCTGAGAAGCTAGTGAGGTCACCTCCAGACTAAACTAATTTAAAGTCACCTCCATTTACTCACAGGACTACCATGCAGATCTTAGCATAAAATGACTTCCAATCGTCTTCAATGCTTTAAAGATCTTTTAGTGCCTTTTTTTAACAAAAGGAAGGGGTGGTTGCAATACTGTAGTTTCTGATGGGGTGCCAGAGTGGACCTCCAGGACCCTGCTCTCTATAGAGGGAGATGTAGCACTGGAGTCCTGAGGGGAATCATGGATCCGAAGCCATGGGGCCTCTCCGCATCTTACTCTCCTCTTTCTATATGGAGAGAGCAGTAGCACTACTGACTTCAGAACTGTCACTATCGACAACTTGGACTTCGTGAGTGACACATAGTGCCTGCACAGTACTCCCACAACTGGTGAGCTAGCTACTGCTGAAACTACAAGCAGAATAAAAGGTGTTTTCCTGGGAAATCTGAGGGAGAGGATGAGTCAGTTCCCAGGTTACACTGCGGCCTGGAAATAGTAATTAGTTGTTGGAAGGGATTGCCAGCTAGAAATCAAGTGGGCAGGTACGGACTGGGGGTAGTTGGTCAAAGCCTTCAGAGATGTTCAAGTCAGAGAGAAGCTCAGAGACCGGTGTCTCATCCTTTCTGAACCTCAGGGGCACAAGCAAGCAGGCTTGGGGGCTGATGGGAAATCCCTGAAGAGCAGGACTAAGTAGAAGTCTGCTTAGGAAACTGCTCGGTCATTCACCCTCGGTACCCAGGTGGTTATGGTCAGCCATGACCTCCATGCACCCTCAGACACTTTGGGAGACACTGGACATGCTTTCCAAGAAGAACTAGTCTTTTAATATGAGCAGATTTGATGTGATGGGATAGTGCTCAAAACACACCGGGGATGAGGAGCTTCAGCATCACCAGCACTCTCGGGTGGATGGACCCAGCCTGGGCTGCTCCATGTAGGCGGTCTAGAGTCTAGATGCAGGGTTATCTTTACATTTCTGATGACTTCCTGAGGTGGGTACTGTTCTCACTGTCATAGATGGCCGGCCTGTCAGAGACATCTTAACATGTGGGACTCTATTTTGGTTTCTGGTGCTTGGGACCGCGACAGAGGCTTAGCTCAAGCAGTGGCCTTCCATTCGTTTTGTTTAACAACCTACATGCGGTGTCCTTACACTCTCCCGATCCAGGGAGCCACTTTGTGGGCTGCAGATCTGCTACAAGCAAGACACACTGCACACCAGGCACACAGCACTATCATCCTGGTGCTCCACTCCCAGAACAAAAGAAAGATGGAGGTCCATTGGATGCATGGAGAAAAACAAGTCAGAAAGAAATATGAGAACAGCCAACCCCATAGGGAAAATCAATTATTTCAGAACAGAAGATAATGCCTCAACATATGAACTAGTGTCTTCAGACAAATGAAAAGTTATGGAGTCTGTAATTAAAAAAGGGATGTATGAAAAAGGAATTACATGATAAAGAAGGAAGCTTAGAAATTAAACAAGATCGCTTAAATAAACATTTTAATAGGCTGGGCCAGGTCGTGCACACGTTTAATCCCAGAACTCAGGAAGCAGAGGCAGGTGGATCTCTGAGAGTTCGAAATCAGGTTGGCCTACATAGGGAATTTTAGGCCAGTCAGAGCTATGTAGTGAAAGATTTTTTCTTTAAAAAATGGGGAGGGAGAGAGCTAGAAAGATGGCTTATTGGTTAAGAGCACTGACTGCTCTTCCAGATGACCCAGGTTTAATTCCCAGAACCCTAATGACAGTTTATAGCTGTCAGTAACTCCAGTCCCTCTTCTGGTCTTCCAGGCATGCACAGGGCACACAGACATGCATGCAGACAAAGCATCCATCCATGTAAAACAAATACATGCAATTAATTTTGAAAAATAAATTTTCCCCTTTTAAAATTTTAAATAAAAAAATAATTTGTAAAATAAAATAATTAGGGCTGGAGAATTGGCTTAGCGGTTAAAAGCTGATACTGCTCTTTCAAAGATCAAGTTCAGTTCCCAGCGCCCACATCAGGGAGTTCACAACCTCCCGTAATTCCACCTCCTGGGGAACCAGAACCTGTTTCTAGCCTCTTTGGGTACCTGCACTGGCGTGTACACACACCCCACAGACATATACACATGCACATAATTAGAAAGTAAGCCTACTTTGCAATAAAATCTTTTTAAAATTCAAAACTGTCAATAAGATAAAGTTGGGATGCCTCCTAAATTTTAGAATAAAAATAGAAAGAAACTGAAAATGTAAATGAAAAGCACAGAGTCACAATAAATCCACTCAGAATGTCAGGCAACAAGCACAGAATAGTTAGGGAAGGGGATAATCTCAGAAGCAATGGAAGACACTGGCCCAAATGTAAGGGATCAGAAGTGCTCCCCCCCAAAAGAGCTAAGGACAATGCCGGATTGATAACAAATTGTCTGTATTTAGATCCAACTATGTGAAATTTGAGAACACACTATATGTGCATATATATGACGACACCCAAATTTCCAGAAAGAAGAAATAAAATTAAGAACTTCTCAGAAGGTTCTAGAAGACAATGACACCAGATTTTGGGGGGAGTGTAAAAGGTAATATGATAATATTTTGAGCATGAAGGTCTGTGAAGAGTGTCTTAGAGTGAGAGGACTAAGCACCCAGGTGGTTGCCTCATGCTTGTAATCTCAGAACTCAGGGGGCTGAAACAGGAGGATCACCATCTTGGGGGCCTGGGCTACATACACAGTGAGTTCCAGGCCAGCCTGGTCGCAATAATGAGACTCTGCTTCAAACAAGAAAAAAAACCCCAGGATTGTAGGAATAGTAAAGGCAGACATCTACAGCTTTTTCTTACAGAGTTTCTTGAGGAAGAACACCAGCAAAGCATGGAGATAAGACCTACACAGGATCTGAGGACCAACGGATATAACTTGATAGTTAGTGGCACAAGATTCATTAGGGATAAGGCCGACAGAGCAGCAGGACCAGTGTTGAGCTTGGGTTCTAGAGGCTCTAGGATGGATGTTTCCAGGCAGGAGGTTTAATGCAATAGAAAATCAGATCAGTCAATGGCAGCCCAGAACACAGAGACTTCTTCCAGCAGGAGCATTTGAAGTTGGAGAACTGCTCTGGTTCAGCATACAAGGATCTTTGAAGACACTACTCCTTGTCACTGCAAGAAAATCAGCACTGCTTCTTAGATCTATTGGAGAATTAAGGTCACAAAGCTGAGTGCTGACTTCAAAACTGGAAAGACACATGGTGTGGTGATCTGAATAAGAAGGGCCCACATGAGCTCATATATCTGAATGAGAAGGGCCCACATGAGCTCATATATTTGAATGCTTGCTCCCAGTTTGTGGAACTCTTTGGGAAGGATGAGGAGGTGTGGCCTTATTGGAGGAGGTGTGTCACTGGAGATGGGCTTTGAGGTTTCAAAAGTTCACACCATTTCCAATAATGGTTTCTGCCTTGTGTTTGTGGATCAGATGTAAGTTCTCAGATACTGCTCCAGCACCATGCCCGCCTGCCTGCTGTCGGTTTCCCTCCATGATGGTCACATACCCATCCTCTGAAACTGAAGTCCCAATAAATTCCTTCTGTAAATTGCCTTGGTCCTGGTGTCTCTTCATAGCAATAGAAACGTAACTAACACAGATGGATGCAGAGACTCACAGCAAACATCTTGGAGCAAACACCTCCATAGGAGCCCGTGTTTGGTATGTCCCTAGGCCACCAGCTGCTCAGAAGGTTGAGGCAGGAGGGTGGCTTGAGCTCAGGAGTAGGACAGCAGCCTGGGCAACATAGTGAGAATCTATTTAAGAGAAAAGAAAAAAATGAAATGAATAAAAGCCTCCCGTGTGGTTCAGTGATGGAGAGAGTAGGAAGCCTGAACCACAAGTGACAGCTTTGCAGGGGGTTCCATGTGGACATGCTTGAGAGAAACTCTAGGGGACCAGTGTGAGGGGTGCCTCACACCTGTGTGAGGCTTGACTTCAAGGTCTTTGCAGTGAGAATGAAAAAACAAACAAAACCCAAACTCCATCGATTGCTCTGTCAAGTGAACTGGAGTACACTCACATTAAAACTCACGCAGAGCAAGGGTTTCTCTGTGTAGCTTTGGAGCCTGTCCTGGAACTCGCTCTGTAGACCAGGCTGGCCTGGAACTCACAGAGTTCTGCCTGCCTCTGCCTCCTGAGTGCTGGGATCAAAGGCGGCCAGTACCCCCTCATGGCTGAATGTTCTGTTCTTAACAAGGGCTGCTCTTAAAAGAAGATGCATGGCTCAGCCTGACTGGCTGTGGTTGTTAAGAGAACCCTGTGGCCCTGGGAGATGGAAATGCCCAGCTTTATCCCAGGAGCCTTCCTGTCTCTCCTAACTAGCTGTACCGAGAAGCACTGGCAAAGGTCGAAGTCCAGGGGCGCCGGCTCCCTCGAAGACCAGCACCCAATCACAGGACTGCAGAA